CTCAAGCGTATCCAAACGGGCCTCAACCCAAAGATCATCGGGGGTTGTGGTGGACATCATCCCACAAAATATCGAGATCGAATGAGAATCACAGCCTGGCCTCTCTTTCTCACTCAGATCACCGGTGGGGTGATGTCAACTGAATTAAGCATCCTCCTCGCCCTCATCCACATCCAGGAGGAGGAGGAGAAGGAGGAGGAGGCGGAGGAGGAGGAGGTTGAGGAAACTCTAGGAGAAAAGCGCGTGCGCCCGCCCGTCCCTCGGAATACGACGGCTCGGGAGCACGAGCAAGAGGGCATGGCCATGCGGTCCACTCGGATTCCTTAGGTCCGCTTGGTGCCTCCCGCGACGGCGCCTCTGGCGCCGCCCCTGGCGCGCTTCGCGGGATCCGGGGCCCAGGGCCCAGCGCCGCTCCCAGAGATCCGAGTGGACCTCCGAGCAAGCTGCTTTTTGTGAAGATTTCTCTTCTTCGGGCTAGGGTGTTGCCGTGGGGAAGCCTCTCATCACGGAAGCTTGGCACCTCTCCGACCACGGGCGCCAGCGACCGCAGCGGGCCTATCTACCACGGTAGTGCCCCGCTCTCCAGTTCGAGCCGTCGCCGGGATGTCCAGGAGGCGCCGCCGCTGCCGCGCCTCCTCCGCCTCCTCCTCCTCCTTCCTTCTCCTTCTCTTCCCTCCTTCTTTCTCCTCCCTCCTCCTTCTCTCTCCTCCTTCTCCTTCCTCGTCCTCCTCCTCCTCCCTCCTCCTCTTTTCTCCCTATCCTCCTCCTCCTCCTCTTCCTCCTCCTCCTCCGTTCCTCCTCCTCCTCCCCCTCGTCTTCCTCCTCGTTTCCCTTTGCCTCCTCTCCGCCCTCGGGGTGCCACGCTCCACGGGGGAATGTGCGGATGTCCACGGCCCGAGGCTCGCCGTCGTGCCTCCTGGTCCGCCGCCGCCCCCACCTCTCCCATCCCCTGTCGCTGTCACCCCTCGCCTCCCCTCGCCTCCCCTCGCCTCCCCTCTCCCACCCCTCGCCTCCCCTCGCCTCCCCTCGCCTCCCCTCGCCTCCCCTCGCCTCCCCTCGCCTCCCCTCTCCCTCTCCCATCCCTGTCGCTGTCACCCCTGGCCTCCCCTCGCTCCCCCTCCCATGCCGTCCCCTTCGGGCGACGATAACTATGCGCGTCCACCGATCGTGGCCAGGCCCACCCTCGGCCCAGGATCGGTGCACGTATGCCTTCCTGGCCGAGGCAGGAGGGTGTATGCAGTGATCCTGGGCTCAGGTTGGGCCTGGCCAGGATCGGTGTATGTGCAGAGTTCTCTTTCCTCTCCCCCTCCTCCTCCTCCTCCTCCTCCTCCTCCTCCTCCTCCTCCTCCTCCTCCTCCTCCTCCTCCTTCCTCCGCCTCCTCTTTCCTTCCTCATCTCCTCCTCCTCCTCCTCCTCCTGCTCCTCTCCTCCTCCTCCTCCTCTCCTCCTCCTCCTCCTCCTCCTCCTCCTCCTACCCTACCCCTCCCACTTCTCCTCCCCCCCGCGCCCCATCCCCCCCCCCCGTCGAGCTGCCCCAGAGAGAGAGCGCCGTGTCGTCGTCGTCGTCGTCGTCGTCGTCGTCGTCGTCGTCGTCGTCGTCGTCGTCGTCGTCGTCGTCGTCGTTATCGTCGGCGTCGTCGGCGGCGTCGTCGCCGGCGTCGTCGCCGCTGTCGCCGCCGCCGTCGTCGCCGATGCTCCGGGCTGCCTGCCGGGCCCCCCTCCGCGCCGAGGCCGCGGCCAGCGGGTGCGGGCGCGCAGGCGCAGCTCGAGGCGGCGGCGGCCGGCAGCGCGTGGGGCGCCTGGGGGAGCTGGCCGGGCGCGGTCGAGGCCGCCCTCGTCCTCGTCCTCGTCGCCGTCGCCGTCGCCGTCGCCTCCTCGCTCCGCCCTCCCTCCCTCCCGTCGCCCTCGTCCCCCCTCCCTCCTCGCCTCGCCCATTGCCCCCCTCCGTCCACGCGCTTCTCTCCCCTGGAGGCGCGCCGCTCTCCGCCTCGCTTCTCCCTCCCGCTCCCCCATGCTTCGCGATGTTGTCCTCTTTCTCGAGCTCCTCTCCATGCCTCCTGTTGCTGCTGCCCTTCGCGCAGGCACGGGCCGACGGGGGGAAGGTCCAGGGCTTTTGCTCTCAGCGAGGGGATGGCCACCCACGCAGCGGAGCATATCGACCACGCGCAGAGGGGGGTACGGTGGGTTCGCGTCGTGTCGACCGGCGGCGACCCCGCCGCGGACGTTCAAGGTTGAACGCCGCCAGTGGCGCAGAATCGGCCTACGTGGAACGATCGGGCGATGAAAAGCTGCCGATCGTTCAAGGTTGAACGATCCACGCGGTGTCAGGAACCAGCGCCGGGGTCGTCACGACGCGAACCTGCGGTACGGGGAGGGGGGAAGGCTTCTTAAAATCAGAACGTGAATTACCTACCCCGCTTTCGCTTCCAGGCGAAACCAAGCCATACCACGCGCCTCCTCGTCAAGCGGCCTGACCAGTACAGGCTGCCATTTGGCATCGTTTGGTATCTCTTGGAAGCGAGGGTGGTCAAAAGCGGGGAGGAGGAGGAGGAGGAGGAGGAGGAGGAGGAGGAGGAGGAGGAGGAGGAGCGGAGGAGGAGGAGGAGGAGGAGGGGAGAGGAGGAGGAGGAGGAGGGGTAGGTTTGCTTTCCCCCTATAAAAGCAAGGAGGAGGAGGAGCCGTCTGACGCGCCAGGCCGCAGCGGGTTCGGCCTCGGAGAAGGGCACCGGTGCCAGGCTGCTCGAGCTCCTCGGGCTCGACGGCGGGCCCGCCGAGGCCGCCAGGGGAGGAGGGGGAGGGGACGGGGAGGGAGGAGGGGGAGGAGGACGAGGAGTAGGAGGGAGATGAGGACGATGAGGAGGAAGGGGGAGGAGGAGGAGGGGGAGGACGATGAGTAGGAGGAAAGATGAGGGGGATGAGGGGGAGGAGGGGGATGAGGGGGAGGAGGGGGAGGAGGACGGTGAGTAGGAGGAAGATGAGGACAATGAGGAGGAAAAGGGGGAGGAGAGGGAGGGAGGACGAGGAGGGAGAGGAGGAGCAGGAAGCCGATGGGGGAGCACTGCGGAGGAATGCGCAGGAGGAGGTGGAGGTGGAGCGGCAGATCGCGGGGGAGGTCGAGGAAGAGGACGGGGGAAGCAGACGAGACCGCGGAGACCGAGCAGAAGGACGACGACGATGATGCTGATGGTGATGATGATGATAATGATGATGACGACGATGATGGTGATGATGATGGTGATGATGTTGATGCTGGCGAAGACGATGATGATGCTGACGATGATGATGATGATGATGATGATGATGATGATGATGATGATGATGATGATGAAGATGATGATGATGATGATGATGATGATGATGATGATGATGATGATGATGATGATGATGGAGATGCTGATGCTGATGCTGCTGATGACGGTGGTGGTGATGGTTATGCTGGTGGTGTTTATGATGTGTTATGATGGTGATGCTGGTACTTATGATGACAATGCTGATGATTACAGCGGTGATGATGATTATGATGCGGTGATTGATGCTGATCCCGATGCTGATGCTGATGATGCGCAATCGTTCAGCGACGATGATGACGACGCTGATGATGTTGCTGATGAACATGATGTCGATGGGGAGGATGCTGCTGACGATTATGATGCTGATGACTGTGATCAAGCTGATGATGATGATGATGATGATGATGATGATGATGATGCTTATGTCGATACTGTTGATGATGATGACGAGGCTGATGAGACCGATGATGATGATGATGGTGATGCTGCCGATGATGACGATGATGATGATGCTAATGATGATGCTGAAGACGATGACGATGATGGATGGTGATGGCTCTAGTGATGGCGATGACGATCATGCCGATGCCGATGATGTTGATGATGATGCTGCTGCTGATGATGATGATGATATTGACGATGCTGATGATGACGATGATGGCGGTGCCGACGATGTTGGTGATGATGATGGTGATGCTGATTATGATGCTGATGCTGATGCCGATACTGATGCTGCTACTGATCCGAATTCTGATGATGATGATGATGCTGATGAATATGATGCTGCTGATGATGACGAGTGCAATGCCGACTTGGTCGATGATGCTGATGATGATGATGATGATGATGATGATGATGATGATGACGATTATGCTGACGCTGCTGCTGCTGCTGCTGCTGATGATGAATGGTGATCATGCTGATGATTGCGATGATGCTTATGCTCATGATGCTGACGATGCGGATTGGGATGAGGCGGTGGCGGAGGCAGCTGGTGACGAGGGTGAGGGTGAGGGCTAGGGTAACGACGACGATGGTGATGCTGATGCTGGTGGTGATGATGCGTATGGTGATGGTGATGATGATGCTGATGCTGCTGACGATGCTGATGATGCTGCTGCTGCTGCTGCTGGTGATGATGATGATGATGATGATGACGATGATGATGATGATGATGATGATGATGATGATGATGATGAACTGATGGTGATGGTGATGACGACGATTAGGACGATGCTTACGATGCTGATGATGACGATGCTTATGGTGATGCTGATGGTGATGATGCAGATCATCATCATCATCATCATCATCATCATCATCATCATCATCATCATCATCATCATCATCATCATCATCATCATCATCATCATCGTGATGCTGATGATAGCTCTCTGGCTCAGGTGCCTGCCTGTTCGAGGGCTTCTCGAGCGCACCTGCGCTCACTGCGGCGGCGGGTGCGGGCCGCCTCTGCGATGGTCGTGGCTGCTCGGGTCGGCTGGATTCGGCGACGGGTCCTCCAGGGTGCGCATCTTCATGTCTCGACGTGCTGTTCGTCGCTCCCAGGCCGTTCGACGATCAAGTTGGAGCTCATCTCCGATGGCATCCGCTGCTCGACCATGTCACAGTCGGTGGCCCTGGAGGCGTTAGCAGGCGTATCGAGGCTGGCTCAACAGCACACTTCTGTGGACCGTGGGCATCGTCATAGTGATGGTCGTCAACAGGTGTGTATTTGGCTTTCTTCTCGTTTGGATCGTCCGCCCGAAGCGCGACCTCATGCTGATGATTGGGGTGGCGACGGAGGGCCCGATGACGATGGTGACGATCGTTCTCGCGGTCGCCGTCGCGGTCGTGTTGACCTTCCTCCCGCCCCTCCTGATCCTTGGCTCGACCCTGGGTGCGACCCATGGGCTGCGGCTGCGCCTCAAGGCGGTGGCGGTCGTGCATGCAAAGCCCCAAGACGACATGGTGATGGCGATGCGGCACCGCTGGCAGACGGTACAGTTGTGCATCTGTTGCCGGAGATTCCGCCTTTCCCGTTCAACAAGGCGGCGCCAGTCTCCTTTCCAGATGTTGCCCACGTTGTGCATCAGGATGCTCGTGGTGACGATGATAGTGAACAAGAACGTATTGAGCCTGAGCTTCGTTCCCCTGGTGGCTTCGCTAGCGCAGGCGCTTGTGACGCAAATGGTATGCTTGATCGTGCTGGTGCGAACATAGAGAAAATCGATGCAATTCTTCGTGAACTTCGTCGCCCTTCTGGTGCCTCTTGTCGTACTCGGCCGCGGCCTCCGCCTATCTGCGTGGAGGAGCCTGGCGGTGATGGTGACATTCTCTATATCATTTTTTTTCTCGCATACCCGTCGAAGCTTATTGGCAGAGTCGTTCGCCGTTCGTGTCCTCTATAATCGAGTTCTCCGAATGCGACCCCGATCTGGAAAAGTTCGATGCGTTCGCCGAGTATCCGCGTTGGATGTGGAAGTCCGTCGCTGAGGTTAATCCGCACGAGCAGTGCTGGAGCGCCTCCGAACAGAGAGCCCGCGCTGAATGGAATCGTACTCAACATGATGTTCCCGTCGACGCGAATAGCAATATTGACAATGACTCGGCCGCTTTCCTCGAGTCCACTTCCTGACGTCGTGCTGCGATGTGTTCTCGTTGTTCGGCTTGTTCTTCTTCTTAGGTGTCAATGACTCCGTCGTACCATGCAGCACCTGGTCTGGTTGTTCGGCGGCTCCCTCGGCTTCCCGGGTGTCTATGGCATCTTCGGCGGTGTAGTGTTTCATTTATGGTGCTTTTCGCTTTCATTCAGTACCCCGTGCGGGGTGGCGGAGTCTCAGAGTATAAATGGCCGAAGAAACCTTGGGGCTCGCAGGGGAAGGAAACAAATGATGCGGATGATGACCATGACGATGATGCCGATGCTGGTGCTGGTGAGGAGGAGGAGGAGGAGGAAGAGGAGGATGCTGATGAGGATGATGAGGATCCTGCTATGACGACGGTGGGCAACGGTGAGGAGGATGAGAAGGAGGAGGATGTGGAGGAGGATAGAGGAACAGGCGCAGATAGTGAAGGAAGGGCGAGGGGGTGAGGTGGACGGCGAGGAGGATCTGCGGCAGCCAGGAGCCTTCTCCTCGTCCTCTCCTCGCTCCTCTCCTCCACTGTCCCATCCCGCCCCCCTCCCGTCCGCTATCCTTCGTCCTCTCTCCTCCCTTCAAGGGTCCCCCACCTCCCACCCACCCACGTGTTGGTGCGCCAAGAGCATTCAGTCAACTCGCATAGTAAGGTTGAGCGAGTTTCCAAGGCTTCCCTTGCATCCTTCCCCTGCGGTCCACTCTTGGCCGCTGTCGTTGGCCACTGCCCGCTTTCAAAGTTCGACATGGCCTTCCAAGGCCCTTGCGTCCTTGTCGCGAGTCCTTGTTGTACGGATCGGTGGCGCCCACCCACAGTTTGTAGCGTCAGAAGCAAACGCGTGCTGACCACCATGGTAGCTCCGAGGTGAGAGCCCCCGTGCTCAGCTCCTGAGCCCACATAGGAACGCCTGCCATTCCTTCATGCATGGCGGAGCCGACCGACTTCGAAGCGGCGACACCATCGGCGGGATGCTCAAGCCAAGGGGAGCCTTCCGCCGTGCACGTCTGAGCCCGGCAGTGCCAGTCAAAAGAGCATGTGGCATCCCCGGCGGTGCCGACAAAGGGGAGGGCGGGCGGGGGGTGATGGTAGGCCGAGGGCCGCGTGAGCGCGCAGAGCATCGGTGGGTTGGCGGCGCGGGAGCGGGCGTGTGCACAGGAGGCGTCCATGGCGATGACGAGGAGGCGCGGTGGATGACGAGGACAGCTAGGCAGGGTAAAGAGGGATGGGATAGCGTTTTTTTTTTTTTTTTTTTTTTGAATCATCGTGTTGCCGATCGGCGCGGGCCCCCCAAACCCCTCTCCCCCCCACCCCCCATGGAGTGGATCTTGGCTGGTTTGGGCGCCTGTTTCGAGCAGGTGGAGCCTCCCCCATAATGGACGCCCTGTTGCAAATAGCCGCATTCAGCAATAATGCCCCCCCCCCCTCCCCCCCTTCCGCCCAATGTCGAAACGCCGAATTAAAAACATGCTCACGAGCCCTGGGTTTCTTGGCTTTCGATGGTTTTGCGATGGAGAGCACGGCGTTCCCACACCAAAAATCAATGGACGTCCTGGGGTCTCAGGGTTGGATTTCTCGTGGAAGGTTTCTTGTGGAAGGGCCCCTCCTGTGAGTGGTGGTGGTGGCGAGGAGGCGGATGACGGGGCGGACAAAGGAGCATGAGGATGAGAAGTCGGAGCCGCGAGGGAGACGGATCCTGCAGGGGAGGACGATGAGAAGGACGATGATGATGAGAGGGGTTGGCGGACGAAGGAAGAGGAAGAGGAGGCGGATGCGGAAGAGATGGCGGTGGAGATGACGGTGGCGTAATAATATTGCTGCTGCGGATGATAAGGGTTACGATTACGGTTAGTTCTCAGCGTAGGGTGGTAATGAAACACGATATTGAGGAATATTACGATGATGCGGTTGTTGGTGATACGGGCGACGATGATGATAGTGATAGTGATGATGACGATGATGATGTTGATGATGATGATGATGATGATGATGATGCTGCTCATGATGATGATGATGATGATGATGATGATGATGATGATGATGATGATGATGATGATGATGGTGAACATGATGATGATGATGATGATGATGATGATGATGATGATGATGATGATGATGAAGCAGAATGAGAGGATTGTGGTGGTGGTGGTGGTGGTGATAATAATGATGTTGTGGGCGGAGGAAGAAGACGAGACGGACCCGTGTATGCACGTATTCACGTGATTGAGCTGCTTTTTTGTGCCCCGCCCCGGCGCAGGCTCAAGTGGACGACTCCAGGATGCCTTTATTTCTTCATGCCTTTTTCCTCAATACTCTACTTGCTCCTCCACTTACATCGTGACATCGGCAACGTCCCTGTCCACCACGTCCACGAGTTGGTTCTCTTGCTTCTTCTCTCTGTCTTCTTATCCTTCTTCCGCCCCCTCGTCTTCTCTTCCTCCCCATACCTCGTCCTCGTGACCCATCTCCTCTTCCCATTGGATCCCAGCACCATGGCCCCACACGAACGGAGGGTCAGCAGCAAAGCGGCTCTCGCAATGGCGGTGACACGTCTTTGAGAGATGCCAGGTTGATGAGAAGCCGTTGCGGCAGTCTTACCATTGTCCTCGTTGGCCCCTTCCTCCACCTCTTCTTGCTCCCCCTCCCTTTCTATTCCATTCCTCCTCCCTCCCCTCCCCCTCTACAATCACACACTACGAATATACTGGCTCCTCTCTCCCCTGATGACGTCCGGAAGATATCTGGCCCCCCTCCGCCTATTTTTGTTACCAGCAGGATTCCTGGGTACTGGCTTTTCGCTTGGGCTTTTTGTCAAAATGTTGTTCCCGCTGAGGCGCTGTCTTCATGTTCGGGCTTTCTCTCGTTCCGAGTCCTGCTCCCGCTGCAGCGCTGGCATCATTTCCGCGCTTTAAATCCTTCAGAATCGTACTCCGGCTGCAGCGCTGGCCTCAAATCCTGGTTTGCAGATGGGTTCTAACAATCCGATTCGCTTCGGTCCTTCAAAATGTTGCTCCCCCTGCAGCGCTGGCTCCATTTCTGCCATGGTTGTTTCAAAACGTGCTCCCGCTGTAGCGCGGTTTTTTTTCGGTCCTTCCAAGTAGGCCTCACATTTGAAAAATTACCTCCATAACAAAACAAATATCGCAAGTGATTACACATCCGGTGCCGGTTCGTCGAGTTTCTGGGCCGCAGAAGGCCCCCCCACACCCCCCACTTCAAAACAGCGTCGCTTGGAGTAAGTATCAAGCGGGAGCCTCGTTTCTGCTTTCGGAAAGCGATGTTGCAAGCAGAGCCAGCAAGTGCTCTCCATCAACCCCGCCTTGTGGGGAGCTTTTCGGGGAGCCCAGGGACGTAAACATGGAGCCGCAACTCCAGACCGGCCCAGACCCTTCGAAAACGATTCACTTACCCTCCAAGGAACCCGGCGCCCTGCCATGACATGCTGTGCGGTGTTCTGTTCTGCGCCACTGTGTGATGCCAATATTTGCGTTGCAATGCTTTGTGATGCAATGCTTCACTACGCAATGCCACGTCATGCTATGACATTATACGCTCTGCCGTGCTCTTCTACGCCATGCCATGCCGTGCTCTGCGATGCATCGCGCACCCTCTCGCGATCCTGGCCCAGCTCGACATCCGACTGTGCGAGTAGAGAGGGGATCTGCGCCATGGTAAGGGATGGGAGGGAGGGGTAGGATGTCAGATATGACGCGAGCGCACTTAGGTAGCGTGCCTCCCCCCTTTACCTCCCTCCCCTCTCCTCCCTTCCCCCCGTCGGGATCGGGGAAGCAGGGCGAGGGGGGGTGGAAGAGGGGAGCGGGGAAGGGCTCTCCTCTCTCCCATTCCCCACCGCAGGAGTGCAAGGGGCCGCCCACCAACAATAACACTACGGCACACGTCCGATCCAGAGGCGGAGGAGGCGGAGGAGGCGGAGGAGGCGGAGGAGGAGGAGGAGGAGGGAGGAGGAGGGAGGAAAGAGGAAGAGGGAGGAGGGGGGAGGAGGGAGGAGGGAGGAGGGAGAGGGGGGAGGAGGGAAGGGGAGGAGGAGGAGGGAGGAGGGAGGAGGGAGGAGGGTGGAGGGAGAGAGGAGGAAGGAGGAGGAGGGAGGAGGGAGGAGAGGGAGGAGGAGGAGGGGAGAGGGGAGGAGGAGGAGGGAGGAGGGAGGCGGGAGGAGGGAGGAGGGAGGAGGGGAGGAGGGGAGGGAGGAGGAGGAGGAGGAGGAGGCGGAGGCGGAGGCGGAGGCGGAGGCGGAGGCGGAGGCGGAGCGGAGGCGGAGGAGGCGGAGGAGGAGGCGGAGGCGGAGGAGGAGGAGGATGAGGAGGATGTTAAGAAGTTGGCGTCGGGACGCGAGCCCAAAAGAGCGGCCACCCCAGCCCTCCCCGAGCCTGGGTTCCCCCCCCCAAACCGTGGGCTGGTTTTGGCTCCAGGCCGACGGTGAGGGTCTAGGGCTTTTAGGCTTAGGTCTTAGGGCTTAGGGTTTAGGGTCCACTAGTCCAAACTTGTGAAACTTATTGGACGCGTCCCACCCACCCATGACCCAAGACAGCTTGATCTCAAAACAACGACTACATCGATGACGAAGACGACGA